TAAAAAAACTACCCAACCAGGACACCAGGTGCTTAAACCATGATCGGTAATCTGACACCACTTGAAAATAATTGTTTGAAAACAGCCAAATAATAATCTTGCAAAATTTTAACAATTCCCTAAAATGCGCGAAAAAAACACATTTAAATGTATTAGGTAATGTAAGCGTAATTTCAAGTGACCATCCAAAATGCCCGAGGGTTGAAGATTTACTTGTCACTTTTGTAGAGAAACAATTCAGTTAAAAATAATTGATTTTCAAAATTAAAAACATTAATATACAATTCTTATTTGATCAGACAAAGCTTTTAAAGGTATCGTCGCTAATCGAGCATTGCCACCCTAAAATAAGCTTAGTTATTTGCAGCGCTGTAACCGAAAATATAGTGGTTTAAGTGTATAGTGTTCCCATCATGAAAAGTCACTTAGATTACATAAAGTCCTTTCAAACAATCAATTATATGATTCAACCGTGATTTTCAAAATAAACTAATTAATTGAAATGGGGTTGTCTATACTTTACTATTGTTGTAAGTTTGATGTTGAATGGACTTTTATAAATTGAATCTAATATAGTCATCTTTCTATTCCATCTCATGTTTATAGACCTCACTGACCGCTGTATTAATGGATTTTTCAAAATAAAAAACTTTGATCCTGTTACAACAATTTGTATATGCAAGAGCTCAGAAATGTTACAAGCTATTAAGTTAACTTGAGTCTAAAAGTCGTATTTATATTCCAAACTTTTATTGACATCACTGCATGTAGTAAATATCTTTTCTGTGTCGAAAGTACTTTGTACATAGTAGATATAACTTGTATATGTATCATTGGCTATATATTAGTATACAGGGATACCCCCAAAGGTCTACAGAAACGACTTTACAAAATTTTCAAACTATTTTTTTCACCAAATCAATTAGTTATACCATTTAAAGACTTCATTTCAGCGCAAACATCAGAACTCAATCTTCAGAGCGTCATTTACTGAGTTCCAAGTCGTAAAAAAAGTCTCATTCTTTCTGGGTAACCCTGAACTGAAATATAATATATCTATGCTATGTTTACTAGAATATCTATGCTATGTCTACTAGTATATATCAATGCTATGTCTACTAGTATATATCTATGCTATGTCTACTAGTATATATCAATTTTATGTCTACTAGTATACATCTATGCTATGTCTACTAGTCTATATCTATGCTATGTCTACTATTATATATCTATGCTATGCCTACTAGTATATATTTATGCTATGTCTACTAGCATATATCTATGCTTTGTCTACTAGTATAATTTATGCTATGTCTACTAGTATATATCTATGCTATGTCTACAAGTGTATAATGATGCTATGTCTACTAGTATATATCTATGCTATGTCTACAAGTGTATATCTATGCTATGTCTACTAGTATATATCTATGCTATGTCTACTAGTCCATATCTATGCTATGTCTACTAGTATATAACTATGCTTTGTCTACTAGTATATATCAATGCTATGTCTACTAGTATATATCTATACTATGTCTACTAACATATATCTATGCTATGTCTACTGGCATATATCTATGCTATGTCTATTAGTATATATCTATGCTATGTCTACTAGTATATATCTATGCTATGTCTACTAGTATATATCTATGCTATGTCTATTAGTATATATCTATGCTATGTCTACTAGTATATATCTATGCTCTGTCTACTAGTATACATCTATGCTATGTCTACTAGCATATATCTATGTTCTGTATACTAGTATAATCTGTCCTATGTCTACAAGTATATATCTATCAAATGTCTACTAGTATATATATATCCTATGTCTGCTAGTATACATCTATGCAATGTCTACTAGCATATATCTATGCTATGTCCACTATAGAACTAATAAACCCAGAACCTTGAAAACCTACGTCACAATGTGACGTCACAGGAGGCTGGAGGATACAAAGCAGAGCTTAAGCATCCCCCCCCCCACACCCAACCTAATGTTTATAAATAGTTTCTCTAAAATTATATTATTGTTTGCGTCATACTTCAATATTTATTTACAATGTAGGTTTGATATTGGAATAGATTGAACATTTATAAGGATTCACATGATAATGTCCCAGAATTAACATTATAATACCAAAAAGTTAAAAAGTTCAAGGAAAGAATGTTCTAAAAATTTGTTGACCATTTTTTTCTCACTTTTTTTGTTGATTCAGATTAGATTTTTTGGTATAAGACAAAGCAAACCTTTCACAAGAAATAACATGGTTATCGAAAAAATTTTTTTTTTACAAATTACAAAATTTTAGATAAAAGTTTTACCGAGAGCCGGGTGAGGGGTGGACACAGAAATTAAATGGAGAAAAGAAAATAAGAAATATTCTTTGTTTGCTTTGTTTGTTAAAAATCAAGAAATTATCCTTATAATAATTGTACGGCAGCAATGAGATAGGATGTTTTTGGGCTGAAATATATGTTAAAAATTAAGCTCGGACATGTACAGTATGCACTCCTAGAGGAGATAACAATAAAAAGGCAATGAGTCTTTGCCACAAACTCTGCATATTTTCTAATCCCTATATGTTCGCAGGCCAATGTTGAAGACGTTTCATATTTCAACCTAGTTGATTTCTGTTGATCAGATAATCTAAATTCATCAATTAAGCTTGAATCATCATATTGCAAAAATATCCTTTATAGGAAGTACATGATGAAAATTCCTGTATATTTTCCAATATCAGCATATTCTCCAATTACAATAGCTGTATATTTCAGCATATTCTCCAATTAAAATAGCTGTATATTTTCCAATATCAGCATATTCTCCAATTACAATAGCAGTATATTTCAGCATATTCTTAAATGGCGATATATTCTACAATAGCAGCATATTCGCCAAAAGCGGTATATTCATACAATAGCTGTATATTTTCCAATATCAGCATATTCTCCAATTACAATAGCAGTATATTTTAGCATATTCTCAAATGGCGATATATTCTACAATAGCAGCATATTCTCCAATATCGGTATATTCATACAATAGCTGTATATTTTCCAATATCAGCATAATCTCCAATTACAATAGCTATATATTTTAGCATATTCTCAAATAGCGGTATATTCTACAATAGCTGCATATTCTCCAATAGCAGTATATTCATACAATAGCTGCAATATTTTCCAATAGCAGTATATTCTCCCCTTACAATAGCTGTATATTTTAGCATTCTCCAAAAGCGGTATATTCTACAATAGCTGCATATTCTCCAATAGCAGTATATTCATACAATAGCTGTATATTTTCCAATAGCAGTATATTCTCCCCTTACAATAGCTGTNTCTCCAATTACAATAGCTGTATATTTTCCAATAGCAGCATATTCCCCAATTACAATAGCTGTATATTTTAGCATATTCTCCAATAGTGGTATATTCTACAATAGCTGTATATTCTCCAATCTTCGTACAACGAATAGCAAGCATCCTTCGTTTATTCGTTGATAAAACATCATGTCCAACAGATACCTAACCTAAAATTATATTCAAATAAACATTCCTTCATGAATACCTGTTTTTTTGGCATGCAACATTTTTAATGACAACTTTTGTTTGGGATTTAAATTTACATTAGTTCAACTTTTAAGTAGCCCTTTACACGTAGAGAGGTATGTCTGATACACACGGTACCTAATAAAACTTTGTCTGCTCTAAAATGAATAAGATATCCAAGATTTTCTGACAATTCTAATTGTCCATTGTGCTGTCTCTATGTTACTGCAAGTGACAGGTGGATTTATGTTGAAGAACGAATGCAGGAAGTGTTCAGAGATAGAAAAATGACAATATCTTCCTCATTGCAAATCTGATAGAATTGTTAAAGTTTTTTAATCAACCTTTTCAAAAAAACGAGAATTTAATAAAATTTGAATTTTATAATACTTACAATGATGAACAATGAAATAATATTCATTTTTGAGGAGGTTGTTGCTTTTTGGACAGCTGGATGTACATTAACTGACAAAGGGTTAATCTCTACCTGCCTTAGCGGTCACTTACAAAACGGTCATTCTACCAATGTAGGCGCGGGATGTATCCAGAGCTGGCAGGGGGGGGGGGATAACACCCCAGCTCCACCAAATGTATAGAATATGTATAATGTTGAGAAGAGGGATTTAAAATATTCCCTGATATTTCAAAATGTCTCATCAATATCAACCCGGCTGAGCCCAAAAATTAATGAAACTATTAAGTAGACAAAGGAATTGAGTCCTTGCCGCATACTCAAAATTTCTAATTCCATATCTTTTAATCCTGAGGGTGTAAATCGTTTATATTTCAAACTTAGACTATTTGATCTAACAGAAATCATAGTTTGAAATATCTCTGGTCTTTGAGATTGGGTTGCAAAGATATTAGAAACTGGAAAATTCAAGAATTTACCTGGGACAAATTATTCGTTTGCTAGCATTTAAGTTTTTAAAATTTGTATAAGGCTGTTACGTTATTCTGGAAAACGTTATATTGTGGAAGACGATGCCTGGCCGCCTAAAACAAGTTCCACAAGATTCACCGGAATGAGATAGAACGGATACG